AAAAACAGAATATCTGTAATGTGCATAAAAACAGACTCACAGATTACCACACATAACTTTGGGTTTTTTTTTACCACCAGTACAACGCTTGTCACATAGTYTTTTTATCCCAGCTCTAAGGTCAAGGTCACAAATTAGGGTCAAAGGTTATACAAGGGCATTGGTTACTGTATCTAGGCTGTTGCAATACAGTACTGTATAACAGGTTGTTGATAATGTGCCATGTACGGTACTCTTGTTCAAATAGCCTTTTATCGGGTGACCTCCAAAGAGACCCTTAAAAGTGGGGTTGGGCATTGTATGAATTTGAATGAATGGTTACAGTTCCAAATCTGGTTTCTAACAATTACCGATTCTGATTCTTTTTAGAGGCAAGGTCTTAAAAACTTTATACTGTCCATTTTTGTGTGCACACTACCTGCAAATGTTTCTTTGTTGCTGTTTGGCAGCTTCTTCTTCCAGTCGTCAGACCTGGCATAAAAACTAGGATTCTAAATTTGAAAATTCTAACAGTTCTGGGAGAATCGATATGTTAGTCCTGGTTCCAAATGATACTCGAGATTCGATGCCCAACCCTATATAAAATTCTCTTTAAATGTTTATTCCTTTTTTTTTTTTAAAGCAGGAAGCCCGCATTTTTAAAATCACATAGGTCTAAAGATTTAAACTGGGAATGAGATCGTCATAAAGTACAGTTTGAAGGACTCCAGGAAGGAGAAGGAGGCCAAGCTGAGATGGTTTGGACATGCCCTGAGGAGTGACAGTGGGTATATTGGTAGAAGAATGTTAGAGATGCAACTACMAGGAAAAAAAAGGGGAGATATAAGTGTAGTTAGAGAGGACATGGAGGTAGATAGAGGAGGAGGAATTGCAGCGACAACCCCCTGAAAATCAAAGAGAGGATTTGTGGCTTTTTAAATGGAGTTGGATCTTGAAAATCTGTTTATTTAAAATGTTAGGGACATCACTACCTATGGCCGTACATGATGACATAGGTACAAAACATGTAAGGGGCATACCGCATAACTTGCAACACTTCCCTTCTTCAGCTCCCCTACTGCACTGTTGCTCTACTCCTCTTTGCATGTTCTTCTCATAACAGTGGAAAATTAAAGATATGTGTGTCTGCATCTGAAGAGAAAAACATGAGAAGTAGATACAGCGGGTAAAATAAATATTGAACACGTCACCATTTTTCTCAGTAAATATATTACTAGAGGTGCTAATGAAATGAAATTTTCACCAGATGTCGGTAACAACCCAAGTGATCCATACATACAAAGAAATCAAACCATAAATATCCAGAAATGAAGTTATTTGTAATAATGTGGAATGGCACAGGGAAAA